GGGGGGGGGGAGCTTCAGTCATCGGATGTATTTTTTGGTTTACAGGTAGATGGGCGTATAACTGAGAGACTTATAAGCGGGGAGGGGGCTCATATGAAAGCGACAGTGTTGGTTAAATTAAGTTACTGACAGCTCAAGAGCAGGAAGAGGTAAGCTTGCATTTTATATTTTTGTGGGGTTTCATCTTCCAATCCTCGTCATCCTCAACTGGCGAAATTTACGCGTGTAGAAAACTCTGATTAAAATTCAAGGTCAGTGACGAATTAAATAAAGATTTTCAGTGAGTTGCTCGAGAAACATTCTGGATCATCAAGATTTTCTCTCTGTGTAAACGAACTCTAACAGAATTCCATTAGTTTCTGACAGGTATGACACAATGCATGAATATTACTGACTTTAAATCGTTTGATCTAAGTAATTGAAAGGCAATTATAATAACAGAGATCAACGTGGTTAGTTTACATTCGATTACATGCTCTCTTGCATGCCGTACTATTTCAGGTCCGGTGTTTCAGGGCGTACTAGAACCTTGTGTTCATTAAATATTTTCCTTCCCTGGGTATCCTGAACGTTTCAGAAATCTCTCTAATCAGCCGCTGAAGTATTACATACACCTAACAGTTCCTTTACTGACGGTGTAACAACCTTTCCCAGGACCACAGCGGCACTGAAATCAAAGGCCACTTTTTGAAAGACCCACTGTTAACCTAATTTCATTTTATTTTAATTTCTTATTAAACTTATCGAAAGATTTTTCTTCGGCGCAGATAGCATTCCATTGCGAATTACCATATACAAATGAACTAATCTGTTTGTTGTCCGTTCTGCGGTTGGTGATTAAGGAATCTTTTGTCTACTGTAGCATAACTGTTAGCTTGCCGTCGCTGCAACCATTAAGGTTCTAAAGACTTGGCAAGAGGCACGCACTCAGAGTCATAATTAAAGACTTTGCTATGTCAGTATATTGTTATCCAGGACATAAAAGTTTGCAGACGTAAATTTTATAAACTCTCTTAAATTTCCGCTCAGCTATCTGTTGTAACCGTTGTAATAAATATACTATTGTTTATGTAAAATTATTCTCGCTAAAGCTCTGGCAAGCGTAAAATTTGTTTTTCGTAAATGGGAGAATCGTTAAGTTCGGTTAGACCATCTAGGTCGACTTTTTGCCGAGCACCAAGCTTTAAAGCACCCGTCCTTTCCTTTGGAACAAGCAAAAGCTTTCTATCTAGCCTTCGCCTGGAGTCTTTCTTTGTTAATTCGGAAACCGTGGAAACCCTAATCTTCGGTAGTTTTAATGGTTCTTTTGATTCTTTGCTCGCTTCTTCCAAGTCCACGGCGTGATCCCTTAAACCAGTGGAGGTGTTAATTTCGGTCCTTATCTCTCCGAGGTTACTAAACTGTGTCAATAGAGTTAACCTCTCTTGCTTTCTCTGCCTGTACATGCCGTCAAGTTTATCCAAAACTTCCACATGTCCATGGCCGGTTCCCATGAGATCTTTGTACTTCACTCTCCGTGTTTTGTACCGTTCGATTAGCTCTTCAAACGAATCCTGATTCGATGCAGGTTTCGGTGGCTTTATTGTCTGGTGTTTTCCTTTTCTGTCAACAAATCTGCCATCGGAATGTGCTCCCTTCTTGCTCGACACTTGTTTAACATGAACGCGTGAAGAGTCGCTTTTCATCAGCACCTCTTTGTTTTGCTTTGGCGACTCGTTTCCGAAGAACAACTGATTTCGGACGCTTTCGGCGGGTTTGAGAGCCATGATCACCTTATAATGTCCATACCTGTTGTGCTTATAAAACGCTTCTTCAGCGTAGACCATAACTGGGCCATCTCGCCCGTTATGTTCGAATTTACTCAGATTTTGTCCATTGGCCTCACAGGGAAGTAACGTTTGTTTGCCTTTCGCAATTGCAGATTGAATTCTAGCTTCCTTCGGTGCAGAAATCTTTGCCGCCGGGAACTCCTTCAGTTCCTGGGTCCTTGCTTCGTGTTTTACGGGCTGCGTCATGTTTTCGTGGAAAATATTCAAAGATTTCTTGTCATATTATCCCTGACTTTGAGAATGTGGGTTAATAGGCTATTAATGTCTAGCCGACAAAAAGCTCCATCAGAACCATTGTCCGAACGGTCTCCACGTGATTGGCCAAAGAGAGATTACCCACCAAGCCTCTCGGGCATTCGGCAGTATTAAATCACCAATTCGAGCGTTACTAAACGTCTAAGCGCATTTGTATATAGCTTCAGTGAGTCAGGTGAACTGAATTGAATGACATTCCTTCACATAGTAACGCATTTCATTAAAAAAAAGTGCCCCAGGGGCTTAAGCAAAAGCGGTAGATTCTGTCTGTTCATGGCGTTATGAAATAGCTATTGGACTTTGCTCAGATTTGTCGTGTCAGAGGCTTATGTCTGACCATTGACACGAAAACCGTCGTTTGGCAGATTTCCATTTTTTCTTCTTTCAACAAGATTAGCATACTCTTAATGAGAAGCAGGCGCGATCAAATGGCGGGAAACTAAACAATAAGACCGGAACTCAGTCTCCAAGCTATCCATTGTTCGGCACTCTTCCACAGCGTGACGTAACCAATCATCGCCTAGGGACGCTCTCCTGACCGCATGTCATTCAAAGACGGAAAAACTACGCATGCATCTCCGGTTTTACTATATCCCTCTCAAATTACCGACAGACCCAACGCAGTTAATAAACATCGGATCGTGTTCTTGGAAAGGGCTCAAATATTGGATGGAGAACAGTTTCTTGGAACTGAGTTTACAGATCTAATTGTTGAGCATTATATCAATTAATTAACAGAAGTAGCATTCGTGTGTACATACAGGGAATATTGTTCCAAGTGAGTGCTCATGGCTAGCGTGAATTCTCGTGCTGAGTTGTTTCCGAACAGAGCGTATTCGCCGACTGGCAGCGACGACTTGACGATGGACGAAGACCCAGAAATTCAAATAAGAATGCCCCTCAAGCCGAGACATCAGTCTTCTTACGAGAACATGAGTGGCCGGGATTTTACGGACGATCTCGGCCACCAGTACGAGGACCCCGCCAAACTCAAGGACGAGGTGTTCCAGAAGCAAAGTCGTGGAAGACCTCTCCCTCCCAGCCGATCAGGGAAGAGGAAGAAGGTGAACGAAGTTTACGAGGCTGTTAACACTAACCAGCGCAAGAGAACATTCACGGACGAATCGGACACTTGCGATGGCTACCACAGAGACACATGCTCCAAGTGTTTCAAAATTATGGCTTTCCTCGGATTTTTGTTTGCCCTGGGTGCCTCAGCTGTTCTGATTATGCTTATGGTGGGAGTACTCTCTACTCCAAGTTGTCGCGATTGTAAGAAGGAACTTGTGCCAGACCAAACATCAGCAGCACAAGCCACCGGATCGACGGAAGAATTATGGAATGTAATCAAGAAACTCAAGTCAAATATGAGCAAACTGCACGCGGCAGTTAAAAGGAAAGACAAAGTCATCTCGCAGCTTCAGAAACGAGACCTCGAGCACACTGACAAGATCGCAGAACTGGAAAAGAAAGCGAAGGATCTAGTGGTCGTTGTTAACAACAAGAAATTCAATGTTAGCGAATTCGTTGGACCTCGTGGCCCACCAGGAATTGACGGGCCTGTCGGCCCAAAAGGCGAAGATGGTGTGGATGGAAAACCGGGAAGACCAGGCCCAGGGAACATGACGTTGTGTCGTTATGCGAGCAAACAGAGCGCACCGTTTACTGCATTCTCATCGGGTGGATTAGATGTTGTTGTAACGGAAGCTTCCGGGGAAAGAATCGTCGGCGTCACTTGCTCAACCCTTGGAACGTCAGAATATAATTTAAGGAGTTGGGCTAATGCTGCCAAGAACAGGCAGTACCAGTGTCGATGCAGGGGACAATCCTCTGTGTTTCGAGCGGCTGCTGGGAAGGCCTTATGTATCCTACATTACTGGACCTGTCCGTTGATTTCTTAACCGCCTCCTCGTCAAGAAAACCTTGGTATCCGCCCTAGCTTAATGAGATCTAAGGACGCGCGCTTCACTTCAATGAACATCAATTTTTTATATTTCTGGCTACACTCTTTTACTGTGGTAGGTACGAATGTTACTAGCCATGGCTCATGCTGCGAATTTTCAATGTTGAAAAACTGCCAGAGAAATGCAGTTTATGACAGTATTGACTTTGGTTTCATATTAATTTGTACTTTCCTTTGCTGCACATTTAATGTAAATTGTATTTGATGTTACACATAAGGAATGTTTCTTTTGATATATGCACAATCACCTTGACTGTCCATATCAAAAGAAGTAATTTTTGTAAGGAATCCAAAAATTGCGGGCGATATTTGACGCATTTGGATTAGAGTTATAATTATTCAGTGATTACTCAATTAAATAGGAGAACTGTAGTGATTTCATTTCGAAATTCCACGTTTCATAATCATCATTGCATAGCAATGACTGCGTAAATGCGTTTAGCATGGCCATTTTGATTTGAATCAAAATTTACGACATTTCATAAAATTACATCGCGTGATCGTGATGGAGTGTAAATAGACAATCGTAATTAATAATAAACTCAGCATACAATTGGGATAATATTGTACACGCTGGTGAATTCATAAATGTAAGTCAAAATTATGTTGTTAAAATAAACTCAGATAAAGGTAACAGTCGTATGTTTTTTTTGTGTTCTCGACGTGTACCTACAAAGGCACATTTGGGTACTCGTGCCGTGTAATCTAAACCGGATATCTCTGCCCTCTTGCATCATTCATTGGCTATTTTGCCAGTTATTACGCCCTCGCCCGTCTGGGTATGTATGCTCAATGTTCTTTTCTTGCCGTCCTGTTGACATCAAGCCTGGAGCGAATTCCATTACTGATATAATCTTTGGTATAATATTCGCTCAGCGTGGCTTTACATTGCAAAATTTTCTTATAACTACAGTAGTACATGTAATCTATTCTTATCGAAACTGAAGCACTATCCTGTTTAGTACATTTCTCTTTTGTGCGGAAAGAACGACAGGAAAAAAGAGCGCCCCCCAACAAACGAAGTGCTATCATTTAATACACCGGATTAATTAAATAAACCCATCTTGTTTGTTCTACAGAGGTCTAAATCTCATTTGCATGTAACTGAAAAATGTTAAAATCGCCTAGAATTCAAACAGACGAATACACACACAGTTGCTCTTTGTAATGCAAATTAACGCACAAGGATATCTAACGTGAACGTCAATTTTTTAGAAAAAGAACTTTCAAATACTGACGCATTCTCTAAATGTTTAGAATAAAAACACGCAATAAAACATCACAGAAAAAAAATCATCATTCGTAGGTCTTGGTATCTCAGAATTTTTTCAGCAAATTTTGCGAAAATGCAAAACTGATTTCTCCTCCGTCCCTCTTCGAACGAGAGGCCAAAAAACCTTTCATATTCGATCTACTGAGTACTTATTTTAAGAAATTTTCTTATATTTTGATGTACCAGTTGGTATTTCCCGTAACTTGAAGTATATAAGCTTAAATAAACTTCTGCTTGCGGCTGGGGTGGTCTTCACCACCAGGTTAATCTCTTCTTCCAAGAATTAAGGGGACTTGAACCTACAACATCTTGGGTTTTATTCTCAAACTTTCGAATTGTTCCTATGATAGAACAGAAGTCCTAACAAAATACTTGAATTAATTACTCGTTCGTAGAAGGGCAAAGCGAAGAAACAGGAAATAAGACAATTCAAAGGAAAGAGACTTCACTGAGGTCCCGCATGAAGTGTATGAGTTAGGGACTACAAGTCTTGGGGGCGTTACTTCCCGAATATTCCCGGTATTTGCTTCCTTTTTCCAAGTCATCGAGATTGTCATTAGTTTGATTACATTTACTTCTTGTCACATCGGTTCACCTTCCCGGGTGTGTTCGCTGAATCAGCACGCCTCATTGCGGGTTACTTTTCACAAGTATTTGGTGTGATTTTCAGTCTCAAGTCCCCACGTATTCCGGTTCCGCCTCTATACGATAGCATTTGGTGGTAATCAAATTGACCTCGGAAATGTTTACGGCGTTTACTAAATTAAAGATAATTATGGAGCTATTAATAGTATTGATGATTCGTTTGTTCTTGCTGTCAACGGGAACCTCCTCTGAGTGAAGAATATACCTAAAATGGTGCAGCTCTAGAGGGAACATCTCTCTCATGCGAGTGCATTCTTCGTAATGGGCTGACCCTCTGAAGAAGGCCCCTGTAAAGTGAACTACCTCTAGGTGCCTAACACCCGGTTAGCATATCTTTTGAGCCGAATACATCCTATGAATGCAGAGCCTTTCTTTAAAGAGAACTTTCTTCGCTGTATATACCAGTAGAGGTGAATTGTTGTAGTTGTGGAAAATAATGTTTGATAAATCTGGAACAAAAGGCTTTTCAAAACTGGATCTCTTATCAGTCAAAAGCAATGAATGTGAGTTGGTTACCAGAGCCTCTGAGAGTGAAATCTCTTTTTAGTTGTTTTGAACCCTAGATTAAAATCTTAGCTAAACAATACGCTTTTGTTCTTTTTAAGGATTCGAACCAGAAGATGTAAACCGAAATGACAAAGCCCATTGAGACCCATTCAGTAGACTGCACTTTCGACTCGCCAGAGTAATAAATATTCTTTTCATAACACCAGATTCAAATAGATTTATTTCATTAAATGTGCACTTAATGAAATAACAATCAGCGAACGTGTGGGAAGTACATATTTAATTAATTGAGGCGAATGTAGAATGTTGGTATTTGAGTCCTTTTAAGGCAGCGTGAAGAGCGGGAGGCCATTTGTTTGTCAGTTTGCCAACCATACATTAGTAAAAATCAACCATGTGGTTGTTAGTTTTGGCATAAAAGCGGCACAAGGATGCCATTAGGGAAAGTGAAGTGATGTCATGAGAGGCAGACAACATTCGGCTGCCAATGTGAAGCTAATAGTCGTGCCACGAAACCTGCGTTTTCGGCAGGCTTTGACCTCAGAACTTTTGAGTGGGTACGTTAACAAAAAGTACATCTTGATAAAAAGGACCTCTTCATTGATCAGATTTGTGTGATAAATCAGGGCAAGTTAGCTAGAGGAATGAACAAAGAAAAAGAAAGGCGGGTAAAAGCGTTACAAATTTAAAATATGGGAATACAATATGACACCATATTTTAAACCTACAATTTGAAATAATTTGGAAAATATACAGGGGATGATACAATTTGATTTTTGAGAAAATAGATCATGGTCTCTTTATACATGATAATACAGTGATATAATAAGCTTAAGTGATACCGCTGGTGCAGAAACATCGAATACCAAAGAAAAAAGATAAAAAACACTAAAGTGAACTTTAAAATGAAAAATCTTTCCTTTTCAAACCCAAGGGTTCCAGGGTCTTTTGATGAGCTATCGATTTGGCTTGTCGTACACTGTCCGAAATGTGACGAATTGTGTGATTTCTTACGAATTATTGACATCGGATGCGATTTGAGACGGATTATTCGAAACAGCTTTATTGCAGACATGTGAAAAGCCCTGTTTATTTATCCAAATTGCTTTGCTGATCCAGACCCGAAATAAGTAAAGTATTTCAGTAAGAAAAGGAAAAAAAGACCAGATATTGTGAGGAGGCGGGGGGGAGGGCGGGAATTGGTGGACTCTGGTTTCACACTCAGACCAGGCGGAGGAAGTGGAAGGACTCTGGCCGGCAACGAGGCTTTCCTTAAGGAGAATGGCTGTAAGCCACACGTACAGCAGAGTCAATTTAAGTTTAGCTTAATTGCCCAGCGGTTGTTCTATTTGTTAAAAAAGAAATAACTCATCGACGGTATTTAATACTTTTGGACAAGTGGCCTGTGCGCACTCCAAGGGCTTTTAGTAGATCGATGAACAGCCAATAAGATTGCTGGGTGACGATGTTAGTCCGTTGTAAACAGTCACAAAGTTATGGAACCGTTCTTTGGGCTTGTCACGCAATCGAGGGAGAAAAACGCGCGAGAGGAACGCGCGACGAAAAGATCGTGTAGGAGGTCATGGTTCATGCTAATTCATCACCCAAGATGTTTTAACATCTTGACAACGCAATAGAATTGGAAGACAAAACTGGAAGTGGGGACGACGAACAATTCAGCATATAATGAACATATCTGAAGATTAAAGCTAACCTAAATAATTTAGTGACACGCACAAGGTTTAAGTTATTCAAGTTTCCACCAGAGTCGTTGTTGGGTGGGTCTAATGCCTAGGCGGTGGGGTGCTCCCTTACATGGGCTATATCGATATAGGTTTGGACGATTTTGGTCTGAAATGGAGTAATTTTTGTTTTCACTCTAGCTTCGGGTATTGGGTATTTCGCTTAAGGGGAGTTATTTTTGTCAAATTTGTAGCCCCTCTCAAATGTCCACGCAATTGACTGCCATTTCTGGTTAGCTGCAGTTATTTATTAGAGCCGTGTACTAATTTTAGTGATATGAACTGAGGTAAAGATTTTTGGCTTAGGTCTGAAATAGGGTCTGAAAGTTGCAGATTTTGGTCCGAAAGAGGGTACAGGTTTCAACATGTTCGAGGTTCGAGCCCCAAGTGCCCACCAAAAACCTTGGGTAGTCCCCCTGGGGGGTCTAGTGTCACTGATTGGTGGAACTAGGACGTGAGATTCCAAAATAAACCGAGAAGGTCACATGCCGATCTGTAGTAAACACGCCTGGGAAGGAAAACATGGCTACACAGTATCACGATATAACCAAATCATTCAATAGCGGCTTCTCAAATGGCATTCTCAGGCATTGATTTTATTACTTTATACGGGAATTAATCAAGTGCTGAGTTTAGCAGTTTCATGTACGGGTATCTCTTTTCATGCGCTCAAGGTCATGTAAATATCACGGGATAGGATCAATGAAACGCAATGAAAAAATAAGAATGTTGCTAAATGTTTGTGTACAGCCATTTCATCAGGTTGTGGCTCACAAAGTCAATTTTCTTCAGTGTAAAAGAAGTTTTCGTGATGAATAAATGTTCAATTGGGCATCAAATAACTCATTACTTCTGTCCACTGTCTGTCTTTCTTGGCAAGTTTTCAATACTGAGTCACACAGCAGGAAACATGTGTGGACCATCATAACTTGGGCAAGAGCTTTCAGAATTTATACATTATGAAATTTTGAATCCCCTGAACTATTAAACGCAAAGAATAATAACTTAGCTCTTATTAACATTAGAGAACTGAGGTTCGTCTCTTATATTTAAACAGCTAATAAGAAGTCAATGGACACATCCAATAGTGAATGACACATTTGGACTTGTCGATGTTTGCTTGGCTAAACACTTTGGACTGACCTCTGCATTCGCACTGGTGTTCTCTAACATTGGTAGTGGCGTTTATTTCGCTTTTGAAATTATATTCCAACGTTCCGATAGTTGAGCAAGTGACGCCGAGTATCTTGTACCCCGGTTCCTCCGTAACGTTAACTTTATGCCCGGTGACAGAACTGTCCGCCTTAAATGAGGCACTTTCTCTAGTCATGTAACGACACGAAGTCATGTTCCCTACGCCTCTCTGTCCCGTTTTTCCATCAAGGCCATCTTCTCCTTTCAGGCCGGTAGCCCCGGGAATTCCTGGCGGGCCCTGCGGTCCAGCGAGGCTGCTCAAGTTGTCGTTCGAGTTAGAAACGATAACCGCTTGATGACGCGTTTTTCGGTCCAGTTCTGCGATCTTCTCGGTGAGCTCGCCGTCCCTCGTCTGAAGTCGCGAGATGATTTCCTCTTTGCTCTTTACTACCGCGTCCAGTTCGCTTATGTTTGAGCTAAGTTCCTGGATCACTTGCAATAATTCTTGCGTTGATACAGAAGCTTTACCAGACGCAAGCTCAGAGTTCTTGCACTCGCGGCAACTCGACGGAGAAAGTGCTCCGAGCGCAAGCAAGATTACAGCAATAAATACCACCAAAGCGACTAAAAATCCAGCAAAAACCAGAATTCTAAAAGCGTTGGAGTGCGCGCTTTGGCGAGAGCCGTCGCAAGAGCCCGCAGACTCGTTTGCGGCTCCGCTCTCCTTTCTTCTCTCTCCTTTCTTCTCGGTCTGTTTATTTTTGCACTCTGAGTGACTTGGAGCGACGTTTGGTGTATTTCTTCGATTATGGCCGTGCAGTTCGTCGTATTGGTGGTCACAGTCATCGGCAAAAGAAACAGTGTTCATGTTCTCGTAGGAAGACTGATGTCGCATTGGTTTCAGCGGAATACTGGTTTGATCGTCCATCCTCTCGACACTGACCGTCAGTTGGGATATGTACTCTTCTGAATATTTTTGCAAATTGAGTCCGCTTCTGAAATTTTTCCACTCAGCCTTTGTAGTCTCTGTGTCCCTTCCTTAAGATAATTGATTTAGACTTAAAAAGCTTTTCCAGTCCTCAACAGTAGAGCTACAACCTCTAACAGAACTGCTCGACAAAACGGTGAGCAAAGGGTATGATCTGTCAAATCAAGAAAGACAAAGGTAACGAAAATCAAGTCAAATAACGAAATTTTATGCGGAAAGCCTCACGCAAAGAGTGACGAAAAGTAACGAAATACAGGGCGGGTCCCGGAAATGCAGACAATCCCATATCCTACGCAGCTTAGCCTGGCTCAGTACAGGTTAGACAGGCCTAGGCTCGCGGGCTCCTTTCCCGAACAGCGGCTGGTAATCGAGCCTAAGCTAAGACAGGTCCGGCTATTTCGATTTTGCGAATGATCTGTCCAGGGAGATAAATAAAGAAAGAAAATTTGAAAGAGCGGGGAAAGTAGACACGCGAAAGGTGGCACGGACGCGGGCGTGCGAGAGGAATTTGAAATGCTATTGCACCTCCATCTATCTAAGTATTCAACTGCTCGCTTTTAATTTCGCGCTTCGTGGGCTTGAAAAACTAATGGAAGATAGGGACTACTCATCCAAGAAACGTATTACTCAATGCTCGATGTCGTTTTAAAGGCTTTATAGAAGAACAAAGAAAAAGAAAAGAAAAGAAATACAATGGATCCCCGCCTTATGGTCACCTAGTTAATACGGTCACTTCGTTATTACGGCCAGTGTAGATCCTTTTTGTCCCGGCAAAACGTCCATACATTTTCTCGTAAGAAAAAACCGTCATTCTGAAATCCCAACCTGTGTAATCCTTCATAATTTTACCTGTTTATACGGCCACTCAAACCAGTTATGTTGATCTTTTCGTGGTTACATGTAATATTGTATGCACAGATTGAAGTTTCAATTTTCTAAAAATTATATCTGCATTTCGAACGGTCATTTTAAAAAGAACATTTGTTTAGAAGTGCAATATATTTGTGGTATATCTGTGAAGACGTCACTTGCAATGGACCGATGATGAAATTTGACCCTACCCGTTAATACGGATTTCCATTGCCCGTTGGTGATCGTGTTACGGGGTTCCACTGTAGCTAAGCCATGTATATATAGGCAAGGCGTACAAAAGGTAACCTCTCTGGGCATCTGTATAAACACTTATACACTTATGACATTTATCAACTTGATAAAAATACATTAACCACCCAGAGAGAAAGTGAAGCTGACGTTTCGAGCGGCTCGGTTGCTCTTCGTCACTTAGACTTACCATCCGCTGTTTGAGAAAGGAGCCTGCACTTCTCCCGCCGAACTCACTCGGGGAGGAACGAAGATCGGACTCGAGTGAGCGGCGGAAATCCGAGCCTATTCGTCACTTTGCTCCGAGGGCTAATGTTCGAAACGTCAGCTTCACAAACTCGCTGAGGCGGTTAAAGTACCTTTATGATATGGCTCTGTCGCACAAGGACTGGGAACTACCAAATTCACGAATTTGATTGGCCGGAGATCGATATTGAAAGCGGTCTAGATTTTCCCATCTAGACTGGCATCTAGACCGGTAATGTTTTGCAGTGAAAAAGTTGCAAACTAAAATGTAAAAATATT